CGTCTCATACCTTGCTGCATATGTCTGCAGCCATCTCATTTCCCAGGCTAGTTACACAATCCTGATATATTTCGTTTGCTTCCAAAATTAGCCCATGTCTAAAGCAGGTATTCTGTGACGACTACTTTAGTTTGCATGGCTTACGCATTCTGGCCAACGAGAGCGGTTTTTTTTTGCTCATGGTCTTAATATGGAAAGATCTCCATCTGTTGTTAAGGCAAAGACAATGGGAAATGGACACAATGGTGAGTTTTGCAGCAATTGTCCTGCGGTCATGGAACTCATCACAAGATGGCCCCAGATGAGTCAAGGTTCCAAAAGTGTGTTATTCAGCCGAGTATTAGACTCCATGATGGGCAATCATTCTGTACGAGTCCTGAACTCCTTAAGCCTAACAGTCCTCAATCCTTCACCTGTTGGAGGATTGAGGACTGTTAGGTTTAAGCATTATTGCCGGGGTCCTGTCAGAATCCACCAAAATTCCACATTGTCCAGAAACAGCATGACACATTCTTTAGAAAAAAAAATCACGTCAATATTACAAAAAAAATCCCAGGGCGATAGAGTACCGAAGTCACATACACAATTATGCCTGTGGAAGGCATTAGCTCGAGAACCAACGTGTGAACCAACATGCACATGTACTCCATTTGCACTACACTCTCTGGTTCAAATGGTGTCACACTTAGGTACTCTATACCACCCTGAATGTAGAGAAATCAATCAATGATTTTGTGGAATTTTGGTGAATTTGGAAGGGTATTAAAGAGTTGTGTGGGGATTATGGTTTGGTTATCATACCGTCATGATACTGTATGGTTTATCCATGCGTGAGCTGCAATGAAAATATGCTATACGTGGAATGCTAGAGAGTATATGCCAGGCTTGTTTCAGTCACATTGAGGTGTTTTCTATTTTCACAATTCAATTTTTATCCAGTTCACTTCAAAGTTGGAACAAAAAGTGTTACAAGTCGTCCAAGGCGGCTGAGGATTTTTTGACAGTATTTGGCTTGAATGTGAGTAAATGAATCAAAATAGTTCCACTGAGAATTTCACTTCTATGTCAATGGCTTTGGCATGTGACATGCAGGATTTCTGGAAGTTGCCTGAATTGAACAAGGTGTCTCGACACAACTAAGTATCCTTCCTTTGCTCTGACTGCAGGGCATAGTGCTCTCCAAGTTAGTACTGACTACAGTTATTTGGCAGCAGTGCAGTGAGTTGGCCATTCATTAAGGGGGGGTCAACATCTAATGCCGCACCAACTGTTTCTCAGAGATGCTAGTAATATCTCTCCTTGTGAGGAGGGTATTTGGCCGCCACCTTGAAGAACGCCTTCACATCCTGTTGAGAAAACACTCAATTATTCTGAACTCATGCCATAATTTGCAACTTCCGGGGGGGGGTGATGTGTCAACTTTCTGTTGTGTTTTTCTTTGGCTGTGCGCCAAAATTCCAAGAAAAGTGAACTTGGCAGTCAAACTAGAAGTCTGTTGGGAGAGGAAAAAAATTCAAAATTCTTGAGATTCCGCAGTAAATGCCTCAGGGAAAGCAGCAATTCAGGAGAACTGCACCACCTAGTTTGGATTGCAGATGAAACCCTCGTTCTTTTTCTTGGCATGGTTTTTGTCAAGAGTTCCTCAGAAGAAGAAATGTTTTGATCAACTTTCTTGGAAGATTCTAAGATGACACACAAAGAGACAAGTTTAATGACTGCCAAAAAGTACATTACAATCCAGAAAGTGGCCAATTTAAAATACATCTTTGGAAAGTATGATGCAGCTCACAACAAAATGACACAGTGAAAGAAAATCTTCCCAGTTTTCGTTTTTCACTAGTACAGTTTTCATCACGGACGCAATGTCAGCATTAAACTAATTACTGAATTTTGAAAATAAATTTATTGCTATGAAATAAAACAATCTGTGTAGAGTGACGTGATTGTGCGGGTGTTATCGATGTCTGAGACCCAACTCCACTCCCAATTTTAGCTCTTTTAGCACTTTTGCTATCTTCCAATAGTCTCTACTAGAAAGGTCCCCCAAAAAGTCTTTCATCCCTGGTCAGCGTGCATGTCGATTTCAGACATGCGAGTCAATCTTTATGTCTTTGGTACGAGAGCTGCAACTGCGCCCTCTATTGCTGCACTGCCCCAACATTTTTCTGGGCAGCTCGATCTTTTACTCAGGGTGTTAGATCCCGATGAGATTGACCTTGAACAATGATAGCAGACTATGGATACGAAATTGTTTGTTGACAGCTTTATAATCATAATCAAACTTGTCTAGTCAAATGACTCGACAACGTGTCTACAATTGTCTGTACGATCCAATCCTGGAGAAAAAAAAAAAAAGCCGCGTCACTGCATCAATTGCGGAACATCAGTCTGACCAGAGACAAACAATTTTTTTGGGGGGGGCCAAAACAATGAACGAATTATTCCTGGCACCTCTTAAGGCTTGACCAAAAATGTAGTACCTGGGTTTTATCTTATCAAATCCTTCAAAATCCTTCCAATTCTGGTGGATTTAAAATTCTGGGCAGGTTGGGGTTAAAGTTTAAGCCCAGTGAGGAAATTGCGGCACTTGTGTCTCCGAGCAAGACACTTTACCACAATTTCCTTTGCTCCATCTTGAATTCAAAAAGATGCTTGTGAGAGAAGTCACAATTGGTCAGATTAACCCCAATGTGCTCTCACCATGGTGAAGGTACTGTGCAAAATTATGTCCTCTGGTAATTAAAAAAGTGCAATTCACTGATAAAAGTGCCAGTTGTCTTCATTTGGTGCAGTCTTATCTGAATGATGTGTTACAATTTTGTGTGCATTCAACTGATAATTTGGTTGTATGCATTTTTTTACCTCAACCCCACGTGAGGCTTGACTATGGACCAGTTCAGAGGGGCCAACTAACGGACTTTTCTGTGCAGAAATTCAAATATGCGGACCTTAAGAGAGAAAAAGGGTTCTACTTACTTTGGGCTCTGGAAGGCATGATCCAAAGTGTTCCAAATACAAGATATCAGTATCAACTGCTTGTGAGAAATCATCCTGGCCAATCTTACCATCCTTGTCTATATCCTGCAGCAATAAAAAAAAAAATTCCCAGTCCGATTTCCATCCTTCCGTTCTCTACAACTGGCCCTGATGTTTAGTACAAAGAAAACTGGGCTCTCTCTTAACCATACAGTCCTCCAACCATGGAGGATTTGCCTCGGTTTGGATGTGAAGCTCTTACCATCCTCTTGATGGCGATTTCCAAGAGTTCCTTGATGCCCTCATCGGGGTCTTCCTCTGTCTGAAGCTTGGTCATGCTGCTCTTGAGAAGGTTGAAGAGCTCCTCCCTTGTGATGAACCCATCATCGTTCAGGTCATATACCTTAAAACAAACTGCAGAGACAGTCATAAGTTACAAGACTCTGACAAGAGGTACTGCACATTTTATTTAAAAAAAGATGATAAACTTGAGCACAGACACTTTGAACCCTAACTATGTGTTAGCACTAAATCCTACAGAATCTAACAGAACACGATAGAAATTGATCCTTTGTCGACTGTTATCTTCTAATATAATCTTCTAAAGGATGACAGCTATGGGAGGGTTGGGTTCAGCGGAGACGTCTAGAACTCAGTCTAAAAGCTTCAATGTAACTCACACTGCTTCTTCTCTTCATACGTTCCCTTTAAGAATACAGACAAGCCTTGAAGCCACTCTGACAAGTTGATGTAATTATCACTATCAAGATCAAATACTCTGACAACTGAAAGAAAAAAAAAATCAAACTCGTTAATATCATATACTTCTGACTTAAATGTCAAGACTTGGGATCCCTAGACAAAAATTTAGCAAATGCTGAACCCAAGACCTTTCTTGAAGTTGATCTGAGCATGCTGATGGAAATATTTGGTATAATTTACTCTTTTGCTTTTCATAGAGTTACCTTCTGACCACTCAAAAGGGAATTTTTTAGAGTGTTGCAGCAACTTTGACGCAGTTAGTTTTCAAATTTCAGAGTAATAGCAGAATACGCCAATTCTCAAAAAAAAGACCCAGGGCTGGAATCAGGGTTACGTGGGTCTGAGGTGAAATCCCCACAAGAACAGTATGAAAGTTTGATCTCAAAGCTGGCTACCAGGTTGATCATGCGGGGTGGTGAAGTATTCTTCAAATAAGGGCAATTGTTCTAAAATATAAATAAGTCCAAGTTCATACTTCTGTCTAGGATGATGTCGTCTGTCACTCCAAACTGGACATGCAGCTGCTCCCTGACTTGAGTCCTCTCAAGCTTCTCTGGCCTGGATGGGTTAGCCTTTCCCAGAGCCTTGAACATGTTGGTCAAGGCTTCAATCTCCTCCTTGTTAACTATAAAGTTGAATATTGATATCATGAAACATAATGATGCACGTGATCATGCGACACTGAATACACCCTACATTGGCCTTCTGTACCATGATCATACTTAAAAACCACTGGCATGACTGGTAGATTCTGGATTGTTTTTCTAAATTGTCACAAGCACAGTTTCAGAAACATGTGGTACGCCTTTCTAATTATTCAGTGCAATCTTGAATCTTGTGCAGACTTATTGTAATCCATCCTAAGCTGGTTTTCCTTTGAATCCATTCCCTTTGAATCCATGAATCCATTCACGCAGTGGCGTAAATCTGTGTTGGAAATGGGGGGGGGGACTGGAGATGGGGAAAGGTTGGGGATGACTTGCCCGGCCATGGAAATTTGAAAAGTGGGGGGGGAGGGGGGAACCATATACACTTTAAAGGATTATAGGGAAGGGGATGTTCATGATTAAGATGTACATCTGTAATGTGTCTCAAATTCATGCAGAATCTTATATGAGAATGGTATCCTTTTTTAAATTGCTTTCCCTTTTTAGTGATATTGCAAACATTTTAGTCATTGGAAATCCTGAAAATTCTTCACAATCTGCTTAAATTTTTGCTCATCACAGAAAAGTGGGGGGGGTAGAGGATTCAATATTCCCCACCCCCCCGAGATTTACGCCCATAAATTTCAATTATGCAACAGTCAAGATTGTACTAAACAGGATCATCAAGCATAAAACAGCTTGAGAAGCCAGTTCACTGGGTATGAAGGTACATAATGACATATGCAAAACTATTTTCAAAGCTCAAGTTTTATACAGCATATCACGACTGGTAAAGGCAATACACAACACATTCAAACACTTCGGATTCATCCACAAATCCACATTTGAACAGTTTTACCATCACTACATGCATAAAAATTTCAGGGAGTGTTTATACAAATAAACTCCACTTACAGTGTAAATTGGGTGCCATTTAAATGTAGCTGTCTGGAAAGTTTTCCGAAAATAAAATACACTGCTTGGTAAACTTATGAATCTGCGTCTTTGGTCGCTATGAACACACAAAACACTGCTGGAAAATCGAGCTGGTTGCCACTTCAGGCGCAATACAATGAGTCCAATGAAGAAAATTGCCAAGTACCAGGGAGTAAGGCCGTGTTCGAATTTTGTGTCTAGGGCTAGGTTTTTATATTGCCTATACGTGCAGCAATAGACGTAGTCGCAGAGAAGCTTAAAAGCTCGGCAAGAATGAAATGGTCTGTTTTCCGCCCCTCTCTGTTCTGCAATGCAGTGGGTCTTACGTCAAATCTGTTATGGATCGGGGAGTGGACTAACTTCTGATTCAACCTTCCACTGGGTACGGGGATGGGAACGAGGTGTGTGAAAATTCGGCATCATGGCGGACGATGAGAGTGAGATCTTCGACTACTTGAAAAAAAGTAGCGGTCCTCAAGAACGTGAAGTTGACGGTAAAAAGGGTGGAGATGCCGCCCATAAGAAGGAGTAAGTTGCAGGGGATAAGTGAGCCAAATTGCATCAGCACTTGGGTGTTTTTGAAGTGAAATTGTGACCCGATTTGAAAGGGGAAGTGGAACGAATGACTGCTAATTAATTAGGCATGCATGTTACTGTTAGGGGCGCAGTGGCACGTGGTTTATGGGCCTGGGCTTCAGTCAACTCGTCCCATCACGCAGTGGTGGTGGTGGATCCGCTGCGCTTGGGTTTCTACATGTTCTACTAAATTCTAGGATGGGCCTACTCACACGTGCAGTTAAATTCATACCTATGTCATAACTGAGGGGTTCATTAGCACCCTGCCATGCCTGTTCCTATAATAAGGAAACAACTTGAACAAAGTCCACTTTCTCAAACAAACTAACATATTGACCTTAAGGAACCATTTCTCAATCCTGATAGGCATAGTTTAGGTAAATTTTGACAATATTTTAGCAAGAAAACTTCAAATTTCTAACCTGAGTTTTGCAAAACATGCAAAAGACAATCACTCAGTCAATTCACGCCATTTTGTTTTTGTCTGGTTATCCGACTCAGCCATTTCGGATTCATCGAACAAATCTCCATCCAGGTCAAGGAACCAGACTACATTCACTTACATGTATTTGTCATTGACGGCCCTTCGGGGCTGTCATGTACGCTGCCGTTTTACTCAAAAAGACGCCACCTTTCCTCAAATAGAGATTTGGACTAGACCTATATGTTGATGTCCTGTTGATGACTTCATGGTACACCGGCCTGGTGGACCATTCCCTGAAAGCATGCTGTGTTGGCACACGCGCTCCGACGATTGTTTCCAGAGCAGCGTAATGTTCAGTGTACAGTTTCGATATGGTCACAGCCACCAAATACTGAACCACTCAGGAAACGAGCATCGGCGCACGTGTGCCAACACAGCATGCTTTCTGTGAATGGTCCGCTAGTCCGGTGTGCCGTGACGTCAAGTTTGAAGGGGAACATTTATCTTTTCTTCCCATATGTGAGTAAACCATGTTGTCGTTATTGGCATCTCTGATTCTCACTTAATCCATAGATGGGCACATTAGACATTTTAAGGACAGCTTTAGAAGTGAATTCGGAGGATTTTGACTCTGGGTACGAACCAATTTGAGTGAAAGGAATTAAGTAAAGCAAAAGTGTACGGAAAGTATTTGGACCCTACTAATGCCCAACCATGTCCAAATGTTAAAACAGGCGATTTGTAGAGTCCAAGTTACTCAGGCTAGCCTAGACTAGTAGTCATGGTAGTACGAGTAGGCCTAATACTTTGTTAATTGATTATCATTGAATGTGATTGTTGGGCACGATCAGTCGATCTTTGGAATCACTCAATCGTTGCCTGATCTGTCCATGTTGTATGATTTGACGATAAACTTGCCAACGGTGCACCAGCCAGTCAAGTGTTCTTTCTGGGCCCTAATTCGCAGTTATGGAACATTGTTTCAAAAAGGAAGTAAAATCAGAGATCTGTTTCATATATAGGAATGCAGTCGTGCTATCGTGCTGATCATGCCCAACACGATCTTGGGCATTGGTGGATCAGTGTGATTGGGTCAACGTGGTCAGTCATGCACTAAATGGTTGATTCGTTACTGCCTGTAAGAAATCCCAGGCTTAACTTATCCTTCTTTTCAAAGCGGTCTTCCTGAAGTGTAAAATTGAAAGAAAAGGTGATGGACTGATGACACTGAGATAGTATTATGCCATGATTGGTGAAGGTGCAGAAAGAGTGCCATCTACAGACAACACTAACTTCCCCTGCAGTAGTTTATCAGCCATCAGAAAGCAATAGCATTATCTGAAAAGTCAAATTTAGCCGGGAAGGTATTGAACAAGGCCCCTATTTACTTAGAAAACACTCGAATATTTGTCAGACCAATCTCATAGGGTTTGTGCACGGGGTATCAAGTGATATCCTTGTTCCCTCAAGGTTATCAGCAAAATGAATCAAAGTGAATAATTCCTTTTTTAATTACATTATTTTGATGCGTCAACATTTGAAAGTTTCATAATACGTTTTTCTATACCTTATTTAAAAATATCTTGCATCTGATCTTCAGCCTGTCCAACCATGCAATAAAAGCCAACAGCACATCAGTGGCAGCAACCACCAACGGGGACGAGAATGATGGCGCCTCCACCTCTGGCTCCAAAGCCACGCCCCAGACCAACGCCACTAGTGGGGCGGTTCCTAAGGACAAGAAAAAGAAGAAGAAAAAGAA